TCGGTCTCTATTCTGATGTCTTGAGTTGGATGCATGAGTTGACTGTTTTGAGTGAGTGGTTGAATCAAGTCTAGGTTGGCCAGTGAACAGAAGGGAGACTCTTCCTTTGCTCGATTTGCTGCACTCGAATGTCCTTTGTGGTGGTTGTCCAGGTTGTTATTGAGGTTGTGCATGTGTTGATGTTTGAAAACCAGTGCGATTCACGTGTTTTGTGCCTTTATGACTTGTCCCCAATGTTGGATGATTGAAATATGTAAGCTTACCTGGTGTCTGACTTGGTTTGCTCGGGGACAAGCAAACGGTTAAGTGTGGGGGAGTTTGATAGACCGTTATTTACACATGTTTTTACCCCTGCTCTTACTCCGTTTGAGGTATTGATTCTCGTGTTTTAGGCCGATTTCACGCTAGGTTGTGCTTGTTTATGATATTTCAGGTCCTAGTACGTGAATGGAGGCTTGGGAGCGAGTTTGAGGTCGATTGGACAAGGATCGGACGCATGGCGAGGTTCTGAGGAAGTCGCGTGGGCACGGACGGGATTGTGCGTGGGCACGCACGGGATTGTGCGTGGCCACGCACGGCCGTGCAAGTAACCAGTTTGGCCGTGCGGGATTGTGCGTGGGCACGCACGGGATTGTGCGTGGCCACGCACGGCAGTGCACCTGGCCGTGCAAGAAGCCTGAGGGTCGAATTTAATGATACGGCGCGTTTTAGGGTGCACGGCCAGAATGGTGATGTGCACGGCCGTGCACCCTGGCCGTGCAAGTCGAGAAACCCTGTTTTAGAGCCTATTCCGAGCCAGAAGTGGGAGAATCGTGTTTTGAGAGCAAAAACAGAGCCCTAGAGAGAGAAAGTACGAAGAACACATCCTAGAAGCTGTCTTAGAGCTGGATTTCATCGAATCGAGCTTGGAGATCGTCATAGGAGTGAAAATCATCGTCTCGGAGCAGATTATCCTCATCGTTATGAGTATGACTAATCCGATTCTTGTTTTCTCTTCTCTCTCTATGGAGTAGAACCCTTCTCTCACTTGGGTATGAAGAACCCTAGTTCCTTGTGTTAGGGATTTGATTGTAATGACTTGGGGTTGTCAAACCGGTTTATGCCAGTGTGCCGGTTTAGCAAGTGGAATGGTTCAACCAGTGGCACATACCGGTTTGTGCCGGTTCATGCCAGTCAATATTACAAATAAAATTATAAATACTTATATTTAAACATCACATTTAACGTCAATACCTAAACATTTATACTTGAATCCAACAAATAACAACAATATTTGACTTTTATACACATAAAATAAATAATAAAATAATTTTTATCAATTAAATTCTCTAAAATAAAACATTTTACTTAAAGATTCGTATATCGATCATGCCGGTCATACCGGTGGTGTCACGCCGGTTTTATGACCGGTACCGGTTGAACCCGGTACAACCGGTGGCATGCCGGCCGGCGTGACAACCATGCTTGGGATGATATTATTGTTTGATTTTAATCGAATGACGCATGTTTAATGAATTGATTTGAGTCTGATCAGCTTTTCTCAATTTCTGCTGCAACCTGAGATAGATAGAATCTGATTAGGTTGTTAGAGCCTCTTCATTCGATAGTAGGAGATTGGCTATACGAGAGTTAGCCAGTTTACTGCTTTGTACTGGTGTTCTTGGCGCCAGTAGTGGAGTTCTGTGTTCATAGCCTCAGCTTTCTATCCCGGTGAAGACTAGTCGTCTGCCGGGTAGTAAGACTGAGAGGGCTTGGTCAGCTTAAGAGATTCCAAGCTACTGTCGGATCTTCCGCAGTCTAATCAACAGTAAATCAACCCAGGGAATTGCAATTGAACCTAACTAAGGGGCTAGGGGGACTCAATCCCGAGTGACTCTTGCCTGCTTTAGAAACCCGAACAATTTACTGCTTTCTTGTTGCTTTTACTTTTCACAACAATCACTCGATTGCTAGATAATAGAGAATCACGGAGTAAGCAGTAGATCTAGACCCCGGGTTGATAATTAAACTAGCCTATACTGCAGTCCCTTTCATTGGTTACACTTGGCCATTGTTAGGTGTTGTGTTTTAGCGTGTCAATATCAAATGTAAAAAATCAATGCATGATACTGAATCTTATTCAACAATAATAAAAGAACATTTTGGTCTAGTATTTACCTGGATGCTATCAACCCCACCTAACCAATAAACATTTTTAACAACCTTCGAAATGAAGTTGTCATCCCAAACTCGTATGCGCGGTAATGAACTTGAGTCACGAGCAAAGTTATGCAATTGCACAAGGTCCAAGTAAAAAATCTACATGCAATGTGGCATTAATTCATATTCTATCAATAATGTCTATATTATACGACATTAAAGTTTAAACAACAAATTTGTACTTACCTCCAGTAATAGCATGCATCCTGTCACAGATTGTTCTCTTGATGAAGAGTCTTCTGGTTTGTTTTGATAGTCTTTTATACCTTCTAAAAGACCATCATAGATGAACTTTGGCCAATTCAAGTTTCCCACAACATTGATGTTCGTTAAAATGTTTAAATAACTATTGGGAACATGAACGGAAGTAGACGGTCTCAAAAGTCTACACATTAAATATAAAAGAAATTTCCCTGTGAACTCTTCACCTTCCGTGAGATCTTTCACCAAATTTGTTTTTAATCTCAAGCATTTTATTTGTCCAGTACCCAAATTAAATCTTACCCTCACTCCGCAATCACACTCACCTAACTGGGTTTCCACATCCATACCTTGAGCAGGTAATCCCAATATGGTGACAACATTATCTACACTTAGAGACAGTCGATTACCGTGCACATTCAATTCACTAGTAGTCACATTGAATCTCATCATAAGGTCCTCCAAAAGATTCAACTTCAATTTATGCTTCTTCAAATGCAAGAGTGCACCAAATCCAATTTCTTCAATGGCCCTCTTTTTTCCATCACATAAATTGTCGATGAGCTCACAAAATTGGTGTACGCCACAACGGCTACTTAAATATACCTATGTCAATCAATGCCAACCAATATTCAAATAAACAAATTTCCTATGAAATTAGAAATCAAGTAAATAAACTAATTTTATACATAATATCATAACAAAATCACCAAACTCAAAAGCTTAACCGTGAGTACAGTAGTCTTAAAAAGACCACTAGTTTTTAATGGATTACCTTTTTCTTTCTTTGTTGGTTTTCATCATTAAGTTCGGAAGAGAGTACTCCTTCGTCGATCTTACTCATCTTTGAACTGTACATAACAGAAATTAAATTTAAACTTTAATAAAATAAGTACGATGATGAGTAACAGCTCAAAAAAGGTTGGGTTACGTTTCATATTGAACATAAAGCTTGCAAATCCCCCTTCATGCTTACGTATAACTTGCAAAAGCTTTTTAGTTTCATTATTATAGTGATGATCCAAGTAAAGAAGTAATATGAGTAGAATTAACAGGAAAGGTTGATTAATTGGTTAGTAGTATAATGAATTCACCTCCAAAGTTTCTTCCCGCTAATTTCAACGAAAATTTTGTTTGTGGCTCTTTGACCAGCTGTAATTAATGGCCTTCTCTACAATATTAAATATTGCACATACACCAACATGCCAATTTATTTTAACAAGAAAGATTGATTATCAAGGGTGCTAAACCTGAACCCTAAAATGACACCAACATACCAAGTAATTACATGAGGGGAAGAACTGTAGGTTAATTTTATGGAAGAGGGAGCAGCGTAATTACCTTCCTAGTTCCCTTTACCGCAGTTCTTTCTTCCTTTTCTTTTTTTATCCAGCATGTAGCGACGTCAGCCGAAGAGATTGAGCAAGCACCTCCAGCTCCTAATAACTATCCATCATGCAACCACAATTACCACCACGTTGCGGCTGCGATCTCAGGTACGTAAGCGCACGCCGGGAGGGAGCCTAGCCAGTCGATTTCCGACGAAGCAAGTAAACAAGGACAGTACAATTACGACTGTGGAAGCAAGTGCACGCTGGGAGTGATCCAAAGCAGGCGATTGTCGTCGACTTGATGAGCAAGGATACGTACAACTACAGCTACGACGGCGGCCGCAACGAAGATGAAGCTTGAGATTATTTAGACTTGGGACTGCAGATTAAGCAATAATTAGGAGGAACAAACCCTAACGCGTTGGTGACGGGAACAATAAAACTAATTGAATAAGTGAGATGACCGGCAGCCCCGGTGACAAGTATTACAGATGTTTTTATGTTTTTTAATCCGAGGGTCTAAGTTTATTTTAGTATGATCTAACGGTTTACATCTATATAAGTTACCTAACTTGAAATTATATCCCGGTAAAATTATTTTAAGTCATTTAGTGCTTTAGGGGTCATCAACTTCATGGATTTGGATATGTAATTCAAGGAACTCATTGTTTGCTTACAATACTTTTGGAGAGTAAATTCATCGAATCCACAAATTTTGAGAGACACCATAAATTCGTAAATCCGAGTATATGTAGGTGTGAGATGTTGAATATGACCTCTCAAACCCTCCATTTCCAAATTCAAGAAGCAAACCAACCCTTAATTAGTTGCGTCAAGGAAAGAACCTATCATAAGTTTTTCTTCTTACTGATGTGGGAACAGAGCTCGTCATAAGATGACTAAATGCAGAAGAGGTTAAATTTGCTGCTGTATGCGGCGAACAAACCAGAAACAGAGTTTGCCTCTGTTTTTCTTTTCTTGTGTTGTAAAATGGATTAATAGAGAAGTAACGAAAAAGGGATAGGAACGAGAGAAGAGGGAGTCTAGAGATGGATGGATGGATGGGTTAAAAGGGGGAAGGAAAACTGTCCAGTTGGAAGGCTAGTTTCTGTACGTGGCGAGTAGCATGCATAAAAATCCAACAGCTGTCCTAACATGGCTCCAAACCGTCTCTTCCCACCTTCATCTATAACACTTCCACTTCTCATCCATGCAAGCACCCCCTCCCTCTCTCTCCCGCCCTTCTGTCTCTTCCGCCTCTTCGGTTGCTTCCACACATTCTTAGTTGGTTGATGCTTCAAACCCATTTGAATTGTGCATTGAGAGCTTAATTGTGGAGAGGAATTCGGAAATCATGCCTCGAAGATACGCTTTCGGGAGGGCGGATGAGGCCACCCACCCTGATTCCATCAGAGCCACTCTGGCAGAACTTGTGTCTACTTTCATCTTTGTGTTTGCAGGGGAAGGCTCTGTTCTTGCTCTTGGTAAAATTAGTATGCATCTTAGAATTCGTTCATGTTTTTGTTGTTCTTGATCTGATTTTTGGTGTAATATGGGAGCATTTGTTGGGGTTTTGGTTACGCACCAGACAAGCTGTACAAGGAAACCGGGCCACCGGCTTCTGGTCTGGTGATGATCGCGCTGGCACATGCGCTGGCGCTGTTCGCAGCTGTGGCAGCTAGCATCAACGTCTCCGGTGGACATGTCAATCCAGCTGTTACCTTTGCTGCCCTAGTTGGAGGAAGGATCTCCGTCGTCCGGGCCATCTATTACTGGGTTGCTCAGATCCTAGGCTCCATCATCGCTTCTCTCTTGCTCCGTCTCGTCACAAACGGCATGGTAATGCATCTTAAACCTTTACTCTCGACCTATTGGCAACCAAGTTAAACCTGCTTGGACGAGTGTTCTGATTTCGGTACCCTTTACTAATTTTGACTGACTGATCTCTTTGCGCAGAGGCCAGTTGGGTTCTATGTGGCATCTGGCGTGGGCGAGCTGCACGGGCTGATACTGGAGATTGTGCTGACATTTGGGCTGGTGTATGTCGTCTACGCCACGGCCATTGATCCCAAGAGAGGGAGTTTGGGGATCATGGCACCGCTGGCGATTGGGCTGATAGTCGGGGCGAACATCTTGGTTGGTGGCCCATTTGATGGCGCGGCAATGAATCCAGCAAGGGCGTTTGGACCATCGTTGGTGGGATGGAGATGGAAGAACCATTGGATCTACTGGCTGGGTCCTTTCCTCGGCGGAGGATTGGCCGCGATCATCTACGAGTACATGGTGATCCCCACCGAGCCACCGCTTCATACCCATCACCAACCCTTGGCTCCAGAAGACTACTAAGTTTACTACCATTTCTGTTGGGTGTCTACTGTTTCATGGATCTCAAGGAGTTGTAAAGCAGCAAGCTTTTCTGCATACTGTGTTCTTTTTTTCCTCTTTTCTTTTCGCTGAAGAACTGAGACTGTAATAGTAGTGTTCTCTTCATTGTCAATGTCATTGTCATGTGTCTTTGTTCAATCTTGTGATGGAAATAAAATGTGTCATCTTTGTTTTCTTCTCATTTACAACAGCATATGAATTACAAAAGAATTATTCGTCCACCAATTATAGCATTTTTGGTTTACACAACAAATCAGCAGGTTTCTGGGATGAACCTGGGACGGTGGAGGAATGAATCATCAGCTAGCTATGGTCGTCTGCTTGTAAAACCTGGCAACCCAAGGCGCGAGTTGGGTGTCATGAGGTGTCCTCGGGTTGGCAGCGTAATAATCCGACCAAAAACAAGGCGACAACTGATCAGTAAATTCGCCATCGGCATATATACAGAAGGGCAACCAGCTCTCGCCTCCGTTCATCCTCCTTTTCCTTTCTCTTGGGTAAGCCAGTGGCGACTGAACGTACCTGTGGTTTACACAACAGGACACCACATAATCAAACGTGAGAATCCAGTGATGAACATGCCCTATGTTCATTCATTCAACCCAACTAACTCTATGAACGCTTGTTTAGATGGTCATACTCAAGATTGGATATTTTTCTCTTATTCTGGAACAGAAATTTGCCACAAATGGGCAAGAACAGCAAGCACTATTCTAGAAACAAACCAAAAGGCAGCATCTTTCCTCGAATTCTCGAGCATCACATCCCCGTGCAGTATACTCATTACCTATCGAATCCTAATTTTCGATTTATTCAGCTGAGAAATGTAAAGACGTACCTGATACCATCAAGCGTGGCGTCCCAAACAAAATGTGTATGACCAAACACATGGCATGCGTATTGGCTCCCCTCAGTTCCATGGATTGACCTGATCCGGTCTTCCAGGCTATCTGAGCCGATGACTTTGGGGAGATTCGGATAGAAAAGCATTCTCTTCTCTGGACATAGCTCTTGCCTGGAAGAGAGTGAACAATGCACAGGAACAACAACGCTTAGCCATCAACATACTATCATCTTTCAAGCTTCAACGTATCATGGAAAATTGAGGTACAGCACAATATGGGCTAACCTAGGAACAAAGTGAGAGAACGTGATCATATGGCTACAAGTGGTCTGAATCATCTTGATTTTCTCCTCATTTCCCTGGTTCATTGCATCAAAATGTAGAGACAGGGACTCGTCTCTCCTGGAGAGCTCCTCTGGCCATTTACATGCATGGTAGTCTTTGCATGCCTTGAGAAGAAACAATCAAACATCAAGCAAGTCAGATATTTATTACTCGCTTTCAGTAAGCAGACAGTCATGATCAATGGACAGGCTGAGTTCCTTGGAACCAGTTTGTGAGGAAGTGAAGCAAGTTTGTTTACTTTCTTCACTACCCTTGTAGGCTAGGTGTACTTCTATTTAGCGTTTGGTGTTGCTAGATCATTCATTAATGAATAGACTAGTGCAACAACTCACTGCATCTGAGTTTCATATCTTCTGCATTCGGTTAGACAATGCTGGTCACTATTCTAGTACTGTAGATTCAATATTAGCTAAGACAACTACATGATCTAAACATTGGGACCATTAATCTGTAGCAAAGATTAGAATCCACAAGTAGGCATCGCCAATTCCATAAGAACGACTACACCAGGGATAGACATGCTCACAAACATGTCATCACCAACCGGGGAACATCACCACTAAAACGTTTGCGGTTCTATAAAGAAACTAAGCATCGCACAGTTCCAAGATAGATAATCCGTATCAAGCAGCATGCAATCCTAATGATATATTGTTACTGGAATACGAGTTCTCTGTAACCCTTACTAGGAGAAGAGAAAGTAAATCACCATCTCCAGGGGTGGAATTCTGTAGCCAGTAATGTTGATTTCTTTGTCGAAACTCTGCAAATACAAGAGGTTCAATCAGTACAAAAAAAAAAAAAAAAAAAAAAACAAGCAGGCATTCAACCATCTGTTCTTCATAGGGCCAAAATTACAATGACTTCATCATTTCAAAAATCGCTTCAGTCAGTTAATACCTCATGATACCATGAGAGCAGAGGAATGATTCCAAGCCCATTAATGACCAGAGGCTGGGTCTCCACTCCAAGCCCTCTACAAGCACCAAGCAATTTATTCAGCTTTTCAAGAGAATCATGCTGAAAGAAGAACAGTCACATTTCTGCATTTAGATTATTACCCACTAGCAGAGAAGGCTAGCAAGCCTCAATTCTCAGAACCAAATGCAAATTCTTTACAGCATCTAAAGAAAAGCATACTCGAGATCTAGTCAATCAGCTTGAAAATCAATAGACGGAAAATAAAGTTTCCTTACATAACCCTCTCCTTCCCGCCGGCACCAGAGATCATGATTCCCCGGTGTAAAGAAAACATGCCCGAATTTCTCCTTCAAAAGCGCCATGGTCAAGTAGAAATTCTGGTACGTCTCCGCTACATCGCCGGCCACGATAAGAACATCTTTCCGATGCTTGCTGGCAGACAAGCACTCGACCCATTTCATGTTCTCGCGGTAATCGGTGTGCAAATCGGAGAGCGCGAACACCCGGAATTCCGAATGATTCCAGGAATCAGTAGGGCGTACTTCAGCCCTTTTGATGCACGATCTTCTCAAATCTCTCGGTCTTGTCGGAAGCAGCGCGTCCCCTCGTAGATGGCAATGATTGCTAGATTGCTGAGGTACGCCCCCGCAATAAGGGAAAGGTCGAACTACCATGCTTGGATTGACGAAAATGAGTGTGGAGAGCAGAGAAATTGGGCTTTTCTCCTCCTGCCGCCGGAGATAGTATGGAATTCCAGGGAGGAATTTCAGAAGGGGGCGGCGAAGGAGGGTCAATCAGCGCCTTCACAGGGTTCTCGTCGAAATGTTTTCAGACAGCGACCCAGCACGAAGTTAAAACGCGAAGAAGACGAATGGAAGCGCAAACGTGGGCCGACAGAAACCGGAAAAAATCGGCTAAATTGCAAGTTTGGTCACTTGAATTACTAAAAAATTTCACGTTTGCCACTCAAATTAGTTTATTCCAGTCATGGTCACCAAAATTAGTTCAACAGTGCAAGTTTGGTCACTCTCCGTTCCGTTAGTCTCCGTTAACTTTCGCTGATATGGCAGTCAACTCTAATAATTGACCGTTAAATGTGTGACGTGGAAATTAAAAAATTATTAAAAATAAATTTAAACTTTTTATAATTTGCACCTCATTATAAAAATAAATTAAATTAAATTAAAATTATATTTTCCGGTCCCTTTGAGCTCGGCGTCACGGAGCGCCACCGCTTCTCCGATTCCATATCTACGACTTGTGAAGCTCGAGTCTAACCATGTATAGAGCTTCGGATTAACCAAAGGACATACCTGGCCCATGTCGGGCAACATGAGATCTCCTTTAACCTCTCACTCAACTGCAATGTCTATAGTTGAGACGAAAAGATTCAAACTTTTCTGCATATAAAGTCATAACAACTCTATAACCAATAAGACAAGCAACACAATCAAGCGTGGATGGCGAAATGTTGAGACCAATCTATTAATGGCCGTTCTCAGTTAATGTCTCCCCATACAACTGTCGTGAGAACGACACCGGCGACGGGTTCAGGCGGCCGAGGCGGAAGGGGTGCAGCTTGGTCGCCGGCGCCGACAAGAGGAAATTAAAGAATTTAGAGTGAAGGATATCATGGTTTTACCCGCGGATTGAGGTTTTGGCCGCCACCTCCTTCTGCGCGCACAAGGAATTAAAAAACCCCCTCAGTTTTGACTCTGTACGAATCGAACGAATCCCACATCAAATCGCCTCCTTCTCCGTCGCATCTCCTACGGCGTGTGTCCCCCTTGACTGATCGATACACTTGGGGTTTGTATCGATGGGTAACAACTTTGCAACCAGCTTTCGGTTAGATCCAGCGTCGTCATGGGCGTTGGTCATGCTTAGTAAACCTAGCTAATACACGAGGCGAGCTCTTCTCCTGACTGGAATTTCTAAGGATTTCGCAAGGAGGATCGTCGGAGACGCCGTCCACACCCTCCGGCGGCAGCTCTCACCTTCTGAGCAAGCGCTAGATGACGACTGGCGAGTCGGGTTTCAATTTCTTCTCCGAACTTTGTTCATACAACTTCGACTCTGTGTTCTCTCTCACTCTAGGTAAGCTTCCCGATGGAGGACTCTGTGGAATTTTAATTTCAATTTTTTAATAGTTTTGAAAATGAGGTGGAAATTATAAAAAGTTTAAATTTTATTTTTTAATAAATTTTTAATTGACACGTCACACATTTGACGGTCAACTATTAGAGTTGACTGCCACATCAGCAAAAGTTAACGGAGACTAACGGAGAGTGACCAAACTTGCACTGTTGAACTAATTTTAGTGACCATGAAAGGAATAAACTAATTTGAGTGGCAAACGTGAAACTTTTTAGTAATTCCAGTGACCAAACTTGCAATTTAGCCGGAAAAAATCCCAGAATACTCAAGTTGTTAAAAAAAATTCCCTAAATACAGTACTTATAAAATTATTTCCCAAAGTACAGCAGTTTCAACATCACTGTTGTAGATAAAGACAGTGATTCTAATCACCGCTTTAGTTTAAAACAGTGAAACAACGGGGAAGATATCACCGCCTTCGACGAAAGCGGGGAACAGATCACCGCTTTTAACAACAACGGGGAAGGTATCACCGCTGCTATCAAAAACGGTGATTGCCTCCCCGCTGTTGTGCAAAACGGTGATATTTGACCACGTTTTAGAGCCCTGGTAGGTGGAAAATTAGGTCACAGCGACCTAGTTATCACTGTTTTGGACAAAAGCGGTAATGTGTTCACCGCAATTGTCTGTTGCGGTGATTAGCTGACATTTTTTTCCTATAAAATCCGACCCTCATGTCCCTCCTGATGCCTTACAGCAAAGTAGTACAAAAATTAGTGTTTTTTTCGTCGTTTTCTCAATTGGTTTGGAGTTGGTTTACTGCTCAAGAAACCCATCCGGATTCGGTATGTTATAATTATGAATTGTTTATATGTTGATGTGTTAGTAATTATTTGTCTGTATTTAGTGAATTGCGGTTATTGGCAAATATGTTAGGAGTATTTAGATTAATTATGAAATGATAGATGTTAGTTAGTTAGTTATGAATTTAGATGAATTTGTTTAGTTTTCTCATGATAGATCAATTAGTTGCATTTTATTATGGGTTTGGATGATATTGTTTTTGTATCCATAATGTACTAATTATATACTATACTTAATTATTAAAAATTCCACACATGGGTAAATTTAAGAAGTTTCGGCTTATTATTTGGTGGAATGGTCGGGTGACAAACTCGAACATTGGGATCGACTGTGAAAATGATGAATCCAGTATGCTAAAAATTGAGTCGAGATTCTCGTGGCAAGAACTCCATGACATTTGTGCAGAAAGGACTTGTACGGGCGGGCAAAGGAGAGTTGGTCAAATTACTTACCGGTATCCCAACATGAGTGCTGACGGAATCATGTACGAAAAAGTTGTCATAAATGATGATGACGCGGTGAACATGATGATACAGTTCATATTTGAGAACGGGGTGCGGCTTGCAGAGGTGTATGTCGAGACCGAGCCGGTCGGTGAAACACATTCTCACCAGTATTCTTATGATGATGGTTTTGCAGGAGGGTATGGCTAGGGTGGTAGTTCAAGTAACTACGGAGGAGGTACTTCTGCAGGAGGGTATGGCTGGGGAGGTACTTCAAGCAACTACGGAGGAGGTAGTTCTCAAAGAGGTGTTGGGTGGGAAGAATACCCACAACATGGTGAGACTGCCGTCGATATCGTTTAGCTCGACGGTGATCAATGGCCTGCTTGGGGTCCAGAGTGGGCTGACATTGAAAACACCCTTCGATCTGGGCGTACTTCGCATGACCAAGAAGACGATGCTGGTTATGCTGGTAACGATGACCATCCTGAGCCGAGCTATCCATTCGCCTCCAGTGACGATGAAAGTGAGGAAGATTTGAGATCAGTCAGTGAGGAGATCGATATCGACGATATATATGACAGAGAGGTGGCGTTCCGTCAGGCACCAACGCCTTACTACACAGAGGTTCCTGATCAATTTTTATATGGTCAGAACGATGCCCCTGACTTTCGCCCCATGCCTGTGTATAATCCGAGTGCTAATTTGGAAGTGGGTATGGCGTTCACTTCGAAAGCCGATGTGCAAGATGCTTTTAGCGAAGAAGCCATGCGGCGTAACTTCGAATGGAAGGTAAAATATTCTGACACCAAACAACCGCATGTCATTTGTAAGAATGCTGGAGAGGGTTGTAATTGGCAACTTCGGGCTGTATATATGAAGAGAAAGGGCGTCTGGGTCATGCGGACAGTAGAGAACAACCACAGATGCTCTTCAACCATATTTTCACAGGATCACCGGCAACTTAAAGCAAAAAAAGTGGCAAGAACGATTAAACTTCTAATCGAGGCACAACCAGATATCAAGATAAAAGCTATCATGGCCGAGGTGAAGGATCAACATTCCTACACCATAAGGTATAAGAAGGCGTGGCATGGGAAGCAGAAGGCCATGGCTGAGGTATACGGTGATTGGGAAGACTCGTATGCTTTACTCCCTAGACTAATGTCCGCAATGGAAGAGTCCAACCCTGGGACGGTTTTCGTGCCTTGGTACAACAACGTACAAACTGAAGATCAAGTTCGAGTACAGAACGAGTTGATGTTTCATCGTCTGTTCTGGACATTCAAGCCATGCATTGACGGGTTTCCCTTCTGCATGCCAGTGATTCAGGTATATTACGGACTCAAAATATTGTACTAGTTCATTACTTTACTAATTTCAATTTTTACTAACTCATTATTCATTTTAACAGGTTGATGGAACTTTCCTTACTGGGAAGTATAAAGGAACTCTTCTTATTGCCACTGGGGTTGATGGAAATTTAAGTATTTTTCCCTTAGCATTTGCATTAGTTGAAGGGGAGAACAACTTAAATTGGACATGGTTCTTTGACCAGCTACATGCTCACGTCACACAAAGAATGGGTATTACAATTATATCGGATCGACATGCCGGGATTAAACACGCCGTCGGTGGTTTTCCCGACGAATGGGGATGGACATGGCGCTAGGGGTGGGCATCGGTTCGGTTCGGTTCAAACCGAACCGAAAAGATGGATACCGGGTCTTCCATATACTTCAAACTTGAAACCGAACTAGAACCGAAATATAATTCGGTTCGGATTGTCCGAACCGGATTATATTCCGGTTCGGGATCCCGACCAAACCGGACATTTATATGAAAAATGCATCCAGCCATCCACCCACTTTTTCATCTGAAACTTTTCCCCCACTCTGGTCCTCTCTCTCTCCATCTCCCTCTCTCTTTCTCTCTGCCCAATCCCTCTCTCTCTCTCTCTACCCAAACAACGATTGACAACAACGATCTACCCAAATGCAGCGACGACGGCGAGTGAAGCTCAAGCCTCAAAGCAAAGCACAACTCAGCGATTGACAACGGTAGGCAGCAAGGCGATGCACGACGCTGGCGGCAACGGCGATGCACGACGTTGGCGGCAACGGCGATGCACGACGCTGGCGGCAACCGCGATGCACGACGCTGAAGGCAACGGCGGTGGATGTCGGCGATGGTGATGACCAACGACGAAGGTTAGAGGTGAGTATGGGTCAGATCTAAACATGCATGAACTTTTTTGGGGTTTGCTTTTCTCCGTCGAGCTTCAATAGATCTTCTCTGTTTTCAATTTTAGGTGGAGAAGGAATTTGTCGCGGCGGAGAAGAGAGTGCGTGGTCTGTGGTGGCTGCTGGAGAGCAGGTGGCGGCGCGGTAGGCGGTGGCTGTGGGATAGGGATAAGGGTAAAGTTCGGCTGTTCGGAAATCGGGTTCGGTTGTGTGACCTTGGTTTCCGAAATATGGCTTTTCTCTTTCCGAATTCCGAACCTAATAACTTAAATTTTGGTTTTGGTCGGTTTCGGCTCGGTCAAATTCGGTTCGGAGAGTCAAACCCGAACCGGATGCCCACCCCTACATGGCGCTGGTGTATTCGTCACTTCCTAGCCAATTTCCAACACAAATTTGGCAAGAAGAAAGACATAAGAGATCAATTGTGGAGTGCAGGTAGTAATGTAATTCAGTGCTTGTTCATGGTTTATTGTTCAAATGAAATTTCTTATGGCTTAATTATTTATTCTCCTGTCTTGTAGCGGTTGCACATCAACCAAAAAAGTACGAGCAGAAGATGAAGACGATCCGTCAAATACACCGGGCGGGAGCAATATGGGCAGAAGGTCAAGATCTACACATGTGGACATTTCACATGGACAACGGGGCTAGATTCAGAATTGCAACTACCAACCATGGCGAGAGCATAAATGTAGTCTACAAGGGCATTAGGGCAATGCCTGTATCTGTCCTAGTGGAGATGACATACTGGAAGGTAAACGAGTGGTTTGTGAAGAGACGGGAGCTCGCTATAGGGAGGGAGCGTGCTGGTCATTCAATAGCACATCATATATTTCATGGCATGCAGAAGATCGAAGAGAAATCAAGTAAGCACAAAGTTGTTCTGTTCAACCGCAATGAAGGTATTTTTGCTGTGCAAACAGGTATTTGGGGTGGAGGAAGACGTGGGCATAATCGTCAATCCGTTACTCTACATGTAGAAACTCGCACCGGAGAGTGTACATGCCAAAAGTATCAAAACAGAAGAGTACCTTGTTCACATGCAATGGCAGTAGCTAAGTCGATAACCCTCAGCGCTTATAGTTTGGTTAGTCCTTACTACACGGAACAGGCGATGAGGAACTCTTACTCGTCAAGTTTCAGCCTCCCTGCCGGATGAAGCTTATTGGCCTGTAGATAATGGGAAGTTGATTATCCCACCGTTGCACTTAAAGCGCACCAAAGGTCGTCCTAGGACCGAAAGGATTCACAATGAAATGGATCAATCACAACGTGCCCGACAGGGTCCAAAGCGTTGCTCAGAGTGCAGACAACCGGGTCATGACAAGAGGCGTTGCCAAGGTCCACCTCTAGAGCAAGATTCAGGGCCAATTCCGAACCAACCTTGAGGCTGTTGTTGTTCACTTCCTTGTCATTTTCGTTGTTGTGATGTTTAAGTCGGACTTCTTGTTTTAATCTTGTTGAGTGATTGTAATGAAGGGTGTCTGTTGTTTATTTTGGTACAGCATGGGGGGGGGGGTAAAACAACACAATCCCAAACTAAATTAAGACGGCATAGATAGTTCATGGAAAACAACACAATCCCAAACCAAATTAAGACGACATAGGTAGTTCATGGAAAACAACACAATCCCAAACCCAATTAAGACAACATAGATAGTTCATGGAAAACAACACAATACCAAACTAAATTAGGAAGACATAGATAGTTCATTGGTTTTCTTCATTTCCCTCCACTTTCCCTTCTCTTCCTCTTCCTCTTCCTCCACGACCTCCACGACCCCTTCTTCCGTCTTCTCTACCTCCTCCTTCTTCACGAGACCGCTGGACAACTGCTCGCGGATTCCTCTTAACCCGACCACCCACCGGAGTGTAGACAGGTGGTGGGGGTAGAGGTGGATGAGATGGACCAGAAGCGTGGTAGAAAGTCGATGATGTATGTTGTTGTTGCGGGGTCTGATACTGAGGAGTTTGTTGCTGATGGTGGAAGTGAGGGGTGCCTTGGGTGAACATGTCATGTTCCTGAGTCGGGGCATAGCTTGACGACCCTCCGGTGCCCTCCGTACTAGTTGCCCACTCACAATGTGGCCATGGTTCAGGAAGTTGAGTTTGTTGAAACGGACGAAGCTCTTCAATGTTTTCTCTCACCCTTCTTCTGCACCTCCGTGGGGGCTCTTGTGGGGGCACGATCCTCTCATCAGCACGAAATGAAGGTCGGGCCGGAGCAGGCATTGGAGGGTATAATAAGACATCCCTTCTTTGCTCTCGGGTACAAGAGAGCAGGTTGTTGAAAAGCCTGCGCAAAAAAGATGTCTTCCGCTCATCCATGATGGGTGCACTCTCGACAGTGTGCTTGGCATGTTCCAAACCGTCAACCTAATAAATTGTTGTACAAAATTAACTAACATTAAATCTAATAATGATCCTCAAATCTAATAATGTTAATTAACATTCTAGCTAATATAGGCATGTAATCATACTACAAAAAATTAAGACAAAGAGGCCAAAATGGAATTCACTTACCACTGCGCCCCAAACAACACCTTGCTTTGACACCCATCTTAGCGTGAATTTCCGATACCACCGCATGTAGCCATCGTGGTACCCCATTGGCCTCGTCTTCGGCACCCCTTGGACCACCCACTGATTTATATTCTCCCATATGTTGATGTAGAATTCATGCTTGCGGACCCAATCCTTTTTTGTGTAGCGTAGGTCAATGGCGTGGAGCTCCCTGAACCCCCTTGAGGTGGGGATGCTGGAATTGGTTGCTACAATCGATATTGCCTCAAAGATAGATCGGGCAGGTGCCATTCCACCATGTGCCAGCAGATTAAGGGCACCTTGCACAACCATGTCTCTTGATCCTCGGGATGTCTAAGACGATGCAACTCAACCACTTCATTTGGATATGGATCCCATACCGCCTACAATCATTATAGTTCACGGAATTAGTACAAATTATATCCACTCCACCTAAAAAATTGAAAATGATGAAATTTTATATTTTTACCTGGTTCCACCAAGGCTTATCAAATTCAACACGATAAAACAGTAAAGAGTGCTCGGGCTGGTGGTTGTTTGAATTTGCTCCGATCCACCTAATTAAGCAAAAGTACGTATATAAGCAATTTTTAAAGCATAGATGTTTACTTGTTAAGTATGATTGTATGGAAGCATCTAAATTGAACTAAAATTCCTTACTTGGCAATAATCTAAATTAGCTAAATACGATATGGTTAGAATAAATCTAAATTCGCTTACTTGGAAGATATCTAAATTCACTAAAATACTATAATTGCAGACTTAAAATGTCACTAAATTCGCTTACTTGGAAGTAGGGCTGGTAATCGGTCGGTATCCGGTATACCGGATAACATTGTGTACCCACCAAATACCGATACCGAATGTTATCCGGTATACCGGATACCGAATAGTCGGTATCCGACATTAATACCGGTATACCGAATACCGGTTAATGCATTGAGATTATTTTTTCGAGCCGGTATACCGACTGAATATAGCTACCGAGTGGGATGATTTGCAATATCAGTCTGAATAGAAACATGAGGGACTGTAATCAATTGGCTTTCGTCTATACCATAAATTGCATGGCCACATATGTAACCTATTTGCCGACGCTTGGTGACCAAAATCAAATAATAAGACTCCAGAAACTTTATACAACCTGAAAAAGAGAACAGGGATCATTAACATGACAAATCATCAATTCTTGGAAAATTTGAAATAAATATAGCTTGTAAAGCGAACCTGCAATTCCGTAAACCTTTGCCACAAAAGTTAGGCCACCAGTCGAGCGATTTCCTTCAGCAATCCGCTGAAGCAAGCTCTTCATTTCTTGTGGCCCCAAAGCACCCATCTTGCAGAACCCTTTCATGTTCGTGTTATACTCACCACATCCAAAAGCAATCCCCAGCTTCGCGGGCAGATCCTTGACGATAGCGTCGATTTGGTCAAACTTCTCCGAACCGATGCAGGCCGAGAGCAGCGCGTTTAAGGAGTAAACGGTTCGCGGGCAATTTAGTTCGGGCATTTCGTCGAACAGCTTCCGTGCTTGTCTGAACATGCCCACCCTGCCGTAGATGACGATGAGCGGGGGAATAGTAATAGAAGGCGCCGCAGAGGTGGCGGTAGACGGACTGCGGCTGCACTTTACTTATCATGGTAATGGTCTCCGGGGAAAAAGGGTTTCAACTTTCAAGGCTTAATAGGATTTTATGAGACAGAGAAGCAGAACCAAAGGACTTGTGGGGAATAAACTACAGGGTCTTCGGTAAACCTTTTTATTCGGTATTCGGTATACCGATTTACCATTGGTATATGACTGGTCGGTATTCGGTATACCGTTTGGCCAAGAAGTGCAGCCGAATACCGATACCGACGGTATTCGGTATACCGAATACCGATTATAACCGGTTCGATACCCGGTATACCGAATACCGGTTTACCGAATACCAGCCCTACTTGGAAGATATCTAAGTTCACTAAAATACTATAATTGCAGACTTAAAATGTCACTAAATTCGCTTGCTTTGAATAGATCTAAATTCACTAAAATACTACCATTGCATATCTAAAATAAATTCAACTTAAATTGAACTTACTTGAAACCATATGGGGGATTTGCTACAAATCGTAGCTCATCATCTGGCAACCAGAATTCCCGAGGGTCTCAAGGTGCGAAAAAACGGAAGATGCTCTCATGCCCAGAGCTGGAGTATGAACATCGCACCACTAGCTTGTTTCGCTCCCAACCTCGAGCAAGTACACAACTCTGGGTAGATCCCAGCCAAGACGGCCGACCCCAACTTTTTTTCCTGATCTCGTCACAGTCACCGAGGAGCATAGGTAACCACATGCCTTGTATCCACCGGTTTGACTTGTCGGGGAACAGAAACCCACCAACCAAGCCAATTAGGTAGACACGTGCATACCGCTCCACCTGATCTTCAGGAGTGTCCGGGCCTATATTAACCTCCAACTGGATGTGGTCAACAAGCCACGGGATCGATACTTGCCCCGCATTCAGTGGTGGATGCCCAGCCCCTTTGACGGGCGTGGTGGTCGGCATGTTGAACCCCAAACGTTGTTGAATCAATGGCCCCCAACCATCTTCCGGTTTTCTCGAGTTGTCGATGATGACATCTCCGGTGATCGGGAGCCCGGTGAGGATGGCAACATCTTTGAGGGTGATCGTCATTTCACCCTCGAGAAAATGGAAGGTATGCAGCTCGGGGCGCCATCGCTCTGCCATTGCCGTCAGCAGATCGTTGTCAATATCAAGCCTCATAAAGTGCCTCAGCATGTGCAATCCCGTCCTCTCTAGATAGGGCTCCAGTCGAGCATGCCAACGGGGCAATCGATATGTCCCTCGATGACTGATGGGAATAAGTGATTCCTACAAAACAAAAAACACAATGTTGTCAGTCAATAGAAAGCAAAATAAAAACTTTAAAACTACTGAAATAGTTTTAGTGTGTCTACCGGATTATTGTTCCAAATTGCACGGGAGCGATGTTGATCTTGCCCGGTTAAATACCTTTGATCCCTTGGGCCAGGATCGATATACAATCGAGGGTCGTATATCTCAGCATCCATCTATAAAAAAATATGAAATCAAATCAATTTATATTTTAGCACCCATGTAAAAAAAATCACAAAAGAGTAAAATAAATTTACGTACTCTCAAAGCGTCTTCGTCCATTTTTTGCCGAAAAGTTAGCGAGAGTATCGACATAACAAAAACTCTAGTAATTCTTTCTGATGCGGAAGATCGGACTTAGCCGCAACCACAGAGCATACTTAGAACGAAACTAGAGTGAAGTAATGGAGTGAGAAAGAAGTATAAAATGGTGGTGTGGTTTGGAATGAGAGTGGGGAGTGGTATTTATAGGGGGGAAGGGGGCGCTGGAAATTTGCATCAACCAATCACCGCTTTCGTCGAAAGCAGTGATTTCACCGCATTGGAGGAAGGCAGTGATGGCCTGGATCGCTGACGTGGCGACTTGTGAGGCATCGGATCGTGGAGGAAAACTACAATCCGAGCCTCACCGCATCGAACGGCAGCGGTGAAGGGCGCAGACGACGCGGATCGGTGACGTGGCGGGGCAGGGCTATCACCGCTTTTCTCTTTAGTGGTGAAGTGTCCGCGCACGACCACGTCAGCGATCCGCGTCCACTTCACCGTTTTACCCATCAACGGTGATTGTGGCTTCACCGTTTCCCTTATCAACGGTCACACAATCACCGCGTTTTACAAGCGCAGGGATCGCATCACCGTTTTTGTCCAAAACGGTGATAGCATTACTGTTTTAGTTTAAAGCGGTGATGCTATCACCGTTTTGGCCCACAATGGTGATTGTAGTCACTGTCTTACTCTTCAACAGTGATGTTGAAACTGCTGTATTTTGGGAAATAAGTTTATAAGTACTGTATTTAGGGAATTTTTTTAATAATTAGAGTATTCTGTGATTTTTTCCCACAGAAACCATTGTTCGAACCGTACGTCTATGCGCCTTTACGTGGCACTATCTCGATCCTCTTGTCAGGGGCGCCCAGCGGGGACCACACCACACATGTGGCAGCCATTTAGCCCGTTTTCTACGTACTAAATTGTCCTCAAGCTCTATTTTGTCGCTATGCGCCCTCCTTCCACAGATCTGCCCTAATGGTCTTTTTTCCACTTTAGTCCACACTGTTCAGGGCTTCCAAATGGGTTTGACGCCCTTTTGTGTGCCTATTCACATTGTCCCAACAATTGTTGTTGTGTGTTTTTAACTCACTTGGCTATCTTTCTCAAATTAAGAAATCCTCTATGTACGTCGGTCTGTCTACACTTTATCATGGTAACGAATTTCATGGGCATAAAAGTTCATTTCTCAATGGTCTATCATAACGGCCAACAATGGCTAGACTCGTGATTTTTTTAGTGGTGTCCTTTTCCAAATATTAGATTCACTTAATAATGAAAATTTCTAAAATAATACATAAAGCAACCACAAGTTCCATGAAGTCGACCAGAAATCTCATAAAGCAGATCATAAGTTCCCTGAAACAAATCAGAACAAGTTTTTTTAAGAAAACCATAAATATGTTAAAGCACACGATAACTCTCATGAAGCAGACCAGAAAGACAAGAAAGCACACGAAAAATTTCACAAAGCAAACTATTTTTTTTTACATCAACACAAAGCAAACTAGAAACGCTATAAAAGATGACAAGTAATAAATAATATTTATAATGGTGAAATAATTAAAAATTATTTTATAAGGGTAATTTTTTTTATACAAGCAACCTGCCGAGTTTCTTTTTGACGGAGAGAGAAGTGGAGTTGAGAGTGGAGGACATGATCCAGGAGGCGGAGTTGAAGATAGGGTGGAGTATAACTACTAAATCTGTTAGTATGGTGCCAACACTGAAGAAAAAATTATGCGTATAGATGAACGTTAGACGATAGTCCAGAGTGTATTATTAACTTACTATATAAATAAAAGCTGTTAAAAGAAAACACCATAGTTTTATTTGACCAAGGCTTTTCCCACATGGTTTGGATGATACCAACCAAATATTTGTCACATAGTTATGAAGAAGATTAACAAGTTCTTAAAACTCTTCCTTTTGGATATCCTATATTATATGAGTTTTGATATCATCTGTATGGGCTCTAATCGAAAATTAATATTCGATCATTAACGATAATCATTGAATGACAAGATGAATGGACGAAAAGCGACAAAGCAAAATAACATGCTTTCTTAATGCTTGCACAACGTAACATAACAGGAAGTTAATAATTGAAATGACTAGCCTGGGGATCATCTTTTTATATATCCGTTCCAGCCGGCCGGTAAGGCGTGTTTTGTATATATAAAACCGGTGGGCTAGCTTTAGCTTAGTCCGCCACCAATTCATCAACTTCTTCTTCTTCTTCTTCTTCTTCTTCTTCATCATCCCTTTTCTCTAGCTTCTTGAACCCAATAATATATAATCGTCACTGTCTGGATAATAATTAACATGGCCCCAACTCATCGCCATACATCCGCGACGCTGCTGCTTCATTTCTTTGTCGCCGTCGTGATCTTAAGCGGCGGTGGAAGTGTTGATGCCGGCGGGAGAGAGGTTCGGTTGGGAAGGAGGAATCTTATTTCCAATGGACTTGGTCGTACGCCACCTATGGGGTAAATTAATTAATTTACAGTTGCAATTAGTTACTGTCATACTACATGAAAAAAAAAAAAAGAAAGAGAAACTTAATTGCTTGCTGGATTCATTTCTGGCTCAACATTAATGGTGGTATGGCAATCAGATGGAATAGTTGGAACCATTTCCACTGCAATATTGAAGAGCATTTGATCAGGGAAACAGGTAAAAATTGCAACTTTATGTGTAATCACTCTTCATTTCAATCCAAAGGTACCCTTTTCCACTTTCTTGGCTGTTTTTGTGGTCTTCCTTTGGTTTAGCGGACGCTATGGTTTCAACTGGACTCGCCGCATTGGGATATAAATACATCAACTTGGGTAAATCATATTTTCATATCTAAATGATCCTAGTGTAATTTGATATTTCCCCCAAAATACAAAAATTGTTTAAGAAAATTCTAGCTATACATAACATAATTTACACACAAATTTCTTAAAATACACAAGTTGGATTAGATCAGTATTCAACGATTTTGGAGCAAGATTATTGGAGTCCAAATCGATTTTACTCAAATCACCACCAATAGAACCAGATTTAGCTGAATCGCGCCAGACCCAGGGGAACTTTTTTTCATTCTGCATAACTTTTCAACGAACAAAACTTTTGCTACGAGAATGTTTTTAAAAGAGGTAATCTTTTTGAATTTTATGGGGTTTAAAGATAATTTTATATTTAATATGCACTTTCAACATATATTCTGAAAATTTTCTCTAACAAAAGTTGTAGTACTTGAAAATTTATGCGAAATAAAATAAAAATTTGCCTCGGTTTGACAACAAAGCACAAAATTATGACTATCAAAAAGTTTAGCAAAATCCCAAAATGGTCAATTTGGGATAACAAATGACTTATATAGAGATGAAAGTGGACCAAAGCCCTCGACTGATTGTTACTATGAGTATCTTGAATAGTTATGTGAAATCAACTTTTTTCATTGATCAGGGTGATTGCTAAATCTCTTTGCCTAGTAACAAATTTGCTGAAATCGTTGTAGTTGGCAGCGATCTGCGACAAACTCGCTTGATTTTGCAAACGATCTGCAACAAAATTATTGACTAATATTGCAGTGATCTAATAATAATAAAAAAAATGTTAAATACACTTGTATATCCAAAACTTTCACGGTTGTGCCAATAATATCCAAATTTTCCGAAATACCATTTATATCCAATTCCTTCACATTCTTTAAAGGTGTTTTTGGATATACAAGTGTATTTAACCAAAAATATATTGAGAAATGGATAGATTTGGCAAAGAACAACTTTAAAACATGGATATAAGTGGTATTTCGGGAAATTTGGATATTATTGGCACAACCGTGAAAGTTTTGGATATACAAGTGTATTAAACCTAAAAAAAATATTCAGCGATCTAGTCCTACTTCTAAATTTTTGCAAACTTTTGTGTAAGTTATGTAGAATGAGAATTTTGTTAACAAGTTTAGTATTTTGGGGGAAAATCCTATTGTAACTATATAAGGCTTCCTGTCTCATTTATAGTTATATAATGCCCTTATTTCTTCACATTATTGTTGCTAATTGCTTTCTCTTTTTCACACACTGTCCACTTATGCCAACTAGATGATTGTTGGGCTGAGCTTAACAGAGATTCTCAGGTAACAAGTTTCCGGCCACAATCTACATTCTCTAGGATTTAGAGTAGCATTGAGAGTGATACACATTTATATCTAACTAGATACGGTTATCGCATTTTGCTTCAATTAGGAGGTCTATAACTTTAGTTTATGAGTAGTTGGATTGAGTATTAATTGTTATATGTTTTATTTGCTTTTGATTTTTTTTGTTAATACTTAACTTTCTATGAAATTTGCTAAAAATATAATTTTGGAACCAAAAATTCGAAATTTTATAAAAATTATTGTTAAGTGTTATCGAATTTTTGGTTGTCCTTCAATGCGAACAACCAACCTTTTTGATGTAGTGCTTTATTGGCTGACACGAATATCACATTTTTGTCATGCATAATAAGTAAAAATTCATTTGATATCTAGTATGCGTACTAAATTAGGGTAAAACTCTTGGTATCGTAGTACTATGGAGCCATACTTTTTACTATTTATTTAATGTTTCACTTATTCAACACATATAAAATGTTCAATACACGTAGTTTAAGGAATTGATTTGATGATCTATTGATTATATATTTGTTAGTACATTTTATTTGGGAATCTCTAGTATTTCTTAACAAATGTGAAACTTTTAAATGTACAATTATGTGAAAATGACATAAAAACACTCCGTACTTATTATTCCCGTAAAGTACTTGTATCATATTTTATTAACTATGGTGCTACGTCACCCAATATAATTTTCTTTTAAAATAATTGTTAATTATTTTTGAAATGGACAAAATAAATATTTTTCTAAATAACAATATCCTAGCCAATATCAAAACAGTACAAATCTCGTTCTCTCATTGATTGAGTGATGGTAAGATGACATATAGTTTCGACTCCTATTAACCAAACACAATATTAAAATCTAATTTAAAAGTAATCAATCTAGAAAGACTTCTGAAAAAGAAAAAAAAAACATACCCTACAAAAGTTCAAGTCCCCAAATAACACAACCCAATTGAAGAGCACATTTTTTTTAGCTTTGTAAGAAAAAGTATAAAAAATGCCATCCTACAAACGCCCAAGAGCCAAGGCCATGAATAACACACCCCATTTTATTAGTGAACAGTAAAACTTGTTTACGTTTATATATATTAATTAATAACTAGATTGGGATAGCATTTTGTGGTTAAAATGCTCAACTTGCGTTTTTGTGATTTCACGTTGAGATTTGAATCCTTTTACGATGGTGTATATGTGATGGTAATTGTTTAGTGATAATCCTTTATTTGAAATGTATGCATAAATTTGAAATTCATGTATAATTGGGGAAAGTTTTAGCCCGAGTTAGAAGAATCGAAAAGAATAAAAAATGGAACTAAGTTTAAAATAACAACTACTATTAAATAGAAAAAATATATTTTTTGAATTGAATCAAGCGTTGAACTAAAAAAGTAAGTGGTTCATGGTTCAATTAATTGTTCCTTGCTATAGACCTATTGGTGAATGGTTTAAACTTTAAATAACTAGTTACACTTATAAATAATAATACATATAGATATAATATACTAATTAGGGTTGCACAAATAAGGCAAAGACGAAGATAAAGAAATGGAGATTAAGGACAACTGAGGAAGTAACGATAAATCATTATGGTATTAGTTAGTTTTTCATATCTCCGCTTCCCATGATATTCAACCCGATTCTTGTGTGAGTATGGACATGGATAAAATCTAAATTATTTGAGTAGTATAATGAATATATATTATCTACCCAACACATTGTTATCCTCATGTATGTTTTGTCGATGTGAAAAATAATTAAATAACTATTGAGATGGGCAAGTTGAACTATGCATACCTACTTTCGGATGTGATTGAGTCTACACAAAAGTTTTTCATTGTATAATATATATAATACTTTTCCTCTCATCATGTAATCAAAGCAATTTAAGCGGATAAAAGTAGTGAAAATTAGGCGCACACTTATTAATTAACTAATGTGAAATTGAATATGCATGACACCTAACAGGGGAATCTAGTTCCTAAAGCTTCAACATTTCCATCTGGAATCAAGGGTTTGGCAGATTATGTCCATTCCAAAGGCCTCAAACTTGGAATTTACTCCGATGCTGGGTATATATTACGTACATATATATGTAACTGTGTTCTTCATACTCAATTACCCTTCCTTTGAAATCCAACGAACATTTATGAGCCAAAATCCTGTATATGTGGGATGCAGGAACCAGACATGTAGCAAGAAAATGCCAGGATCGCTAGACCATGAAGAACAAGACGCTAAAACTTTCGCTTCCTGGGTAAACCCTTTCGCCACCCCTTAGCTACCCTCCTCCACCGAAATTACTTTCAAATTTACCCTCCTTTGTCACAATGACAGGGAATCGACTACTTGAAGTATGATAATTGTAACGACGATGGCACGAGTCCAAAAATCAGGTGTGTTACAGTGTGTGTGATGTGTACAATCAAATTCAAATTTGCATAGTTATGTTCCTATCTAGCTATGTGACTAAGCTGCAGTGGGTGTCTCTTTGATTGATCAGATACCCAGTGATGAACAAGGCACTAATGAGGACTGGAAGACCTATCTTCTTCTCTCTATGTGAATGGTAACTAGAGAAGTACTGTTGCTAGAATCAGGATTCAGGAATCCTCGTAATCAAGATTCCGATTTCGGTTGGCCTAATTTTGTTGGTTCTCAGGGGTGTGGAGGACCCTGCAACTTGGGCCAGCGGCATAGGAAATAGCTGGAGGACAACAGGGGACATCAATGATACTTGGGAAAGGTACCAACCCCTGATGAACAAAATTGTTTTCAGAACTGGGTTACAAACACCACACCATAGGGTACTTACTCTTTGTTATTTTCTTCAACCAGAATGACGAAACGTGCCGATACGAACGATCGATGGGCAGCTTATGCTGCTCCAGGAGGCTGGAATGGTACCTTGCAAGCATTCTAATATAAAGTTTGTCACCTTGATTCACCGCTACTGTTTTGTTAATTTTACACTAGTTAATGTTAACAGATCCAGATATGCTTGAAGTTGGGAACGGAGGGATGACAACAGACGAATACCGATCACATTTCAGCATATGGGCTCTCGCCAAAGCTCCTCTGCTTATCGGGTGCGACGTTCGGTCCATGAGCAACGAAACTTACGAGATTCTAACCAATAGCGAAGTGATTGCGGTGAACCAAGGTACAACATATTGATTCATGGTGTTTATGTTTCGTTTTCCAAGATTAGGAAACTAATGAAAATGGGGTTTCTTCCTACGCCACTCAGATCAACTTGGAGTGCAGGGGAAGAAGGTTAACAAGGATGGAGACCTAGAGGTATGGGCTGGTCCGCTCAGCAAAAACAGAGTGGCGTTGGTGCTGTGGAACAGAGGTTCTTCCCCTGCGACGGTTACTGCACAAATGGCCGACGTTGGTCTCTCTCCGTCCGCCATTGTTGATGTCAGAGATTTATGGGCTGTGAGATCTCTGTCATGCGATTCAATCTATTCTTGATTCAGAAATTTCGGTTTTAGATAATCCGATGATTAAGACGGTGATAAACTGGTCTGTTTTGTGCAGCACTCGACGTTGGCATCAGTGACGGGACCAATTTCGGCGTACTTGATGCCTCATGGTAGTATGATGTTTGTACTCACTCCCAAGTCATAAGCAATAAAAGCAAATCTAATGGGATTCCTCAACAATAAGGACTACATAACTGGCTCGCCTTTGTGGTTGAGACAGTCTTCTATGTTATAGATCGAGGGTAATCAGTTTTAAGTTGCACTTGACTTTGTTAGTAGTTCTCATTTTGGTAACTCACGGTTTACTTTATCATCCAACAATGCCACGATTTGGTACTTCCGAGTAATTTTAGGGTGTATTTGGATACGGGGATATCAAAGGAATTTTGTCTAAAGTAACACGGTTACTAACAACAATTCTCACAATACTAAACTTAGGGACGACGTTAAATTGCTCCAGGGATAAGTGATAAACCTTAGTCGTGTTGGAGGCTAGTGATTCATTCATTTCAGTGGACATGGATCGCGCCTCAGCTGCGTGATTTAGGTCACGTAACATCTTATCCCAGAGTTTAGAATCATTTTAACGAGATTGTTGGGATTAGTGGTTTTCTCGCTCTTCATTTAGGTGGATGAAAATCAATGTCGAGTCACAAGATTTTTGTTGTGTGTCATTCATCGTGCGGCTCCCTCGCATTATGCACATATCCCTAGGGTTGGCAGTGATCTCAGCCGCGAGACCGCCACGCCTTTAATCAATAAATAACTCTCCATTCCTTTCTGATAACTCAAACCTTTATTACTCTTCTCCTATCTCTTCCTCTAGTCAAATTTTTGTTAACTACTTTGTGGTTGCGACTTAACTCACTTCTACACACAAGAAAAAAATTTCTTGGACTTGTAAAACCACCCCTCCCCCATCTCAACAATCTCGACAAACCTCAGTCCACCTCCACCATGTCATTTCTTATGGACAATGAAGCTTTAAGGTCGAATATTTTCTTTTATGTATTATTATATAATCGATTTCTCTTCAACAGAGCCAGAAGCAAAGAAAATAGTCATTACAAATAGTCATTACAAAAAGGGGGAAAGAAAACGGAGCCAGAAGCAAAGAAAAAGTTCCAGCCACATCAAAAGAAAAACAGCCAAAGTAGGCGCCCAACCACACAGGAAAAGGCATCAGCAAACAAATGCATACCGGACACCGCTGAGGAAAAGGGCTGCATCTCAAACAAGAATTCAAAAAATGCATGAGAGAGGGAATCTGCAGATTTCTGAGAAGTAGGCGATTCTTCAGATGATGAAGCCAATGATCCGATAAGGCTCGGTCAACTTTGCCGCCAGCAGTGAGCCAGCAAGAATATCCCTGACAATTCTAAAACAAAGAGTACTTGACGATTCATTCTCCTCCCGAGAAATCCTAGCATTCCTTTCAAGCCAAACTCTCCAGCAGAAAGCGTGAAGGGCCACCTTAGTGCACCAGTCAGATTCTCTAGTGCAACTGACTGAGGAAAGTGAATATATCATTTAAGGGTAGTATAGTAGCAACCAATGTCGTATCTCTCAAAGACGATGAATACTAGCAATTAGCTCTACAAATGTTATCTAATCAGCCCTTTTTAAGAAAATTATTTAAAAAAATTAAATTAACTAACATACAAACACAATATAAATATGATGTTCTTTCCTAGACGTGTAACACGTGTTAATTCTCATTGGGTCTTAACCCGATGTTCTCGTGTATTAGTACCCAACCAACAATTAATTTAGACTCCATATCTCATTGGTCTAAAGTTAACAAATCAAAGCATTACTCGATTTGTGAATTCTCATATTAAGTTTTAACACTTATCTAGAGGCCTAATGTGATTCTATATTCTAGCAACCCAATCTATCCAGTATACTTCATGCAATGCATTTATTCTTCTCATCATTCGGATGAAATAAACAAGCAACCAAGTGGCTGACTTTAAACTAAAACTTGTCAGATGAACTCAGGATAGATCGAAGTAAATAAACATCAATATCTATATTGCATTCAATCAATTACAAAATCACATAGTTAGGGTTAATCTCCTCCAAACAAGAAAGAGATGTAGTAAATGGGGGACAAGAAGAAAAAAAAAAGTAAAGAAGAAGAAGAATAGACAATTCTTTTAGTATATAAAAGCTGGCTATGCTTTTTGCTCTTTTTTTACGTTACTCATTCACTTTCTGTCTTTTAGTGCCAATTGGTGAAAGGGCTTCGTGGAGGAGCTTTCCCAATCTCCACTGAAACCCTTTCCTACACAGGCAAGCCCTTTCCTTCCCTCAGTGCAGCAGACGCCCATGCTGCCTCCCATTATCTACTGGCAGAACTTCAATTGTCCCCTCTATTGCAGAACATCAACTGGCCTTTCACCTTCCCTCTTTTTCTGCCAACCATCTCTCCCTCATAAATCCTTCTTCTCCCACACTATACCCTCTCCTGTTACATCACTACTAATTTTCTTACACAAAATCATCCCTCCATCCCCTCTACACCATAAGTCTTTTTCTCCCGTCTCCTTGGCTTCCAATTATCTAACCTATCATCCTCTAATCCTCATCCATATCCCAATCCTTTCGGTTCTTCCTCTCTCTTGGACTCCAGGCGCCGTGTAAAATCAGAGACAATGATGGTGAGAACCCTCCTTTGGCACTAGGGAGGACCAGCTGGGAGGATCATTGATCAACGACTGTTGTTTTTTTTTTGCTCGACGTCCAACATGAACCTCTGCTCCAAGTGGTATAGGGAAGTATGGGTGTCCGAGGAACAGCCGGTGTCGACCAAGGCCGCCATGGGAAAACCCTAAGCTTTAAATGGATGAAACCCATGTTGGAAGCTGAATCAATCGCCACCGACATCAAATCTGCAGCTCTGGTGGTGGAGTAGGTGACTGCACAAGAAATTATTAGTAGTGGAGTATGCTCTCTTCTTTAAGATTGTTAATATTTGTAAGTACTGAGACCTTGACTTCACTGGACTCTCATTAATCATCTTATCTCTGGTAATTAGATGATGCCTGGGCTGAACCGAATAGAGACGACAAGGTACAAATTAATTAAACTTGTGAGATTATGATTATGTGTTATTTTGTTGAAGCGATAAGGGAAAGAATAATTAATTAACGGTAGCGTGGTGCGATGGGTGTGTAGGGGAATTTGGTTGGCCGTGCTTCGAGCTTTCCTTCTGGAATGAAGGCGTTGGCAGATTATGTACATCACAAAGGCCTTAAACTTGGAATTTACTCTGATGCCGGGTACGTATCCATATCATTAATTATCTATTTCTGCTGTATTAATATGTTGCAGAACAATGTGATAATTCGTGGGAAACTTGCATATATAATAGGACAATGACGTGCAGCAAGAAACAGCCGGGATCATTAGGTCACGAACAACAAGATGCTAAAACTTTTGCTTCTTGGGTTCGTGCATATATATCGTACCCTAATCTCGTTTCTACCTTGATGGATTCACTTAACCATTTTCCATTATTTTTGTTTTATCTTATTTCAGGGAATAGATTTCTTGAAATACGATAATTGCCACGCCAATAACATAAGCCCCAAAAAGAGGTACTTATCCACCCCCAAATGTGCAATAGCAGAGTAACTTGTAGTTGAGGATGAGCTATATTTTGCCTGGGCATTTGATTTTAGATTCAAATATATACTAAATACATGTTCAAAAGTAAGAGTATGATAGATTATCATCGCCCCCTCCTCCAAAACTTTAATTCAATCTTAAGAGACTATAATTTTTTTTTTTTTTTAAAAAAAAGAAAAATTTAACCGCATCCACTCGTTGAGAGAAGTGCAGGTACCCGATAATGAGTAAAGCGTTAGAGAGTTCGGGAAGGGCTATCTTCTTTTCAATGTGTGAATGGTAATTAAAAATCGACTACTGTCTACTGTTATGGCCTCTTATATATATATATATATATGATTATCCCTCCCTGAATCTTTGTTCACTTTTTCACTGAGGCAAACAACGCACGCCGCCAGCAATTAGCATATATGTTTACATGTTTGGTCGTTTTAGGGGTAAAGAAGATCCTGCAACTTGGGCAAAGACAGTTGGGAATAGTTGGAGAACAACTGGGGACATCGGTGATAATTGGCACAGGTACATCCCTCACACTAACTAACCTTATATTTATATCATCACCTTATACCGTTTCTCTCCTCATAAAATTTTAATTAAGTCTGTATTTGGGTACGAGGATTTGTGTATAAAAATGAATGTAGATACTAAATCATTTATTTGAATGTCAAGTCTTTATCACAACTACCATACATATTTGGATTTCGAAATATGTATATATATATATATATCAACAAACAATTTGTCATTCAAAATTGCATCTGAATTTTACCTTGCGTTTTTATCCATCCAAAATGGGGCAAATAGTCCTTATGAATTAATCATATGATCTCCTTAATTATTATTTTCCCTTCTAACTCTTTTTTTCTTTCTCTTCTTCTTTCTTAGCATGATATCTCGTGCCGATACTAATGACAAGTGGGCATCTTATGCTGGACCTGGAGGCTGGAATGGTAATTCCACGAATAAGAATACTTTTTGTAATATTTAATGAATTAACTTTTATCCAACCATTGGTCGTATGAATTTTCTTTTAATCACCAATATTTTTCTTCTTTCTTTTCGATCGGATGGTTGTGCAGATCCTGATATGCTTGAAGTTGGGAATGGAGGGATGAGCTTCCTGGAATATCGTTCACATTTCAGCTTATGGGCAATAGCCAAGGCAATTTTATAATTATAATAATTTATAATAGTCAAAATACATTCCATTTAACATTAAAATTTTATTAATTGCATATATTTCAAAGTAAAAATATTGACATCATGTGTCTCTTTGAAACTTGTACGTAAATACATACAGGCTCCCCTGATACTTGGGTGCGATATCCGATCAATGAGCGCTGATACCCGCAAAATCTTAAGCAATAGGGAAGTCATTGCAGTCAACCAAGGTAACTTCTCCTCTTGATTTTTACCATGCATAATGGGATTTGTATCACTTTAAACATGATTACGTACTACATATACATGTTTTTTTCACGTTCAGATAAACTGGGAGTGCAAGGGAAAAAGATTAAAAAGAAGGGCGATCTTGAGGTCCATTTTTCACTTGAAAATTTTAGTTACCTACCAAAAAAATAATAATGCTTGTACAAATTACTTTTATTAGTCCTTTTATTGGGCCATTTGTATAGTACAGGTTTGGGCGGGTCCTTTGAGTGGGAAGAGGGTTGCAGTGTTGCTGTTGAACAGAGGGAACTCCGTAGCCTCAATAACTGCACGGTGGTCCGACATTGGCCTCCACAACGACGCCGTCTTCCATGCAAGAGATCTCTGGAAGGTGAGATCTGATTAGGTGTTTCTTCCCTAGCTAGCTAATTCGTTTCGATTAGAAAAAATATAATCAACAACACTTATTATATATATTAATGCTGACAAGACAAATGTATCTCTCTGCTCCATCTAATTAATTTATGTGGCTGGCAGCACTTAACGATTGCATCGGTGAAGGGGCAAATCTCAGCTAAAGTGAGATCTCATTCCTGTAAGATGTATGTCCTCAGTCCCAACTAAAACCTGAACTAGGACTCGCCGGCGGCCGAACGAATGGGTCAATCGCATACTTGTATTCTTTTGTTTCTTTTTGGACGAATAAAATTACACTATGAGAGCAAAGAATTGTAGCTCCTTAATTACTAGAAATGTGCATATGGTAGTGTGTCTAGCTAGTGGGAAAGAACAAGTCAAGATGTATTGGCTGACCTATTTTCTCTAAGTGTTTGTCTCAAGGTGCAACTGCCCTTAAACTACCTCTCTTTTCTCTTCTTTCTATTTGTTGGCTTTCTGTTTGCGGATTGATGATAAACTTTTGTGGGCTTTTGCTGGTTATCTGAATGATATCAATATATCATCACATCTTTCCAAACTCATTAATTGTTTTTTGGTGAGAATAGGGCGCTAAGGGCGCCCAAACCATTATTACGTACGAATAAGACGGGACATTTGAATCCTTACAGAGTCATAGTACAACCAGTAAGCTAAAGAGCTACTCGGGCTATCAAAGACGTGGTGCCCAATCGGAAATGAGTGACCTATCGAAGCAAGATGATCTGCAACGTAATTAGCTTCGCGGTAAACATGATCTAAACGAACTGTCCATTGTCGAGCCAACCAGCTCCGGATCTCCGCTACTCGCGTATAATGTGGATGGTGCGGTGATGCGGTCTCTATCAAGGACATGCCAGTTGCTGAATCTGTCTGGAGAATAACCTTTCTGGACCCTTGATCCCCAAGCAAGCTTCAGCCCGTACACAATACTAGTAAGTTCTACACGCGTAATGGAACCCCCTCCAAGTTTCGTCATGAAAGCGCTGATGAATCGGCCATCGTCCCCCTGACCATTGCCACCACAAGTAGTGCTCTCAGGAGAGGAAATGACTGAGCCATATGTGTTAATGCAGACCCAGTCTTGCGCCGGTGGTTGCCAGCCAACCATGCGCCTTTCGTGGAGTCCCCCATCTCTAAAGATGCTCCTCTCCTTCTCAAGAGCTTTGAGAACTTGTTCTCTGAGTTGTTTCGCTTGGTACTGGATTTGTGTATAGGCTTTCAGCTCACTTCGGAACAAGAAGCCATTCCGGTTCTTCCACAACAGCCAGCATGTACCTGCAAAAAGAGTATTGTCGATGACTTGACTTCGGCCTGATAGGTAATAATGAGTCCACCGCTGCAAATCTTCTTCAAAAAATCGGTGGTCCGACTTGTATCCCAAGAGCTCCGCCCAGGCGGCTCGCGCGAATGGACAGTCGCGTACTACATGGATCGCCGTTTTTGGTTTAGCTCCGAAAATTTTGCAACCTGTATCTGTTGTAAGATGTCGGCGCCCCCTCTCAGCATTAGTGAAAAGCCTGTCATGATTCAACAGCCACATGAAGGAGCACACCCTTTGCATCATCGGCGCCCTCCAGATCGTCCGCCACACTGGTCTTCCATGGGAGTTGTTTACTGTCGAGGCTGTGAGCTCATACGCCGTCTGGAGTGTGAAGTCACCCCTCTCTGAGAATCTTCAGACTCTAGTATCATCTTCCTCCTCATGCGGAACTGGGTAAAGCTCCACCTGCGAAACACGTGACAGAGGTAAGTATACCTTCAAAAACTCCAAGTTCCACTTACCATTCAGGATAAACTCATGCACTGACATGTTGCGAAGTGGTTGTGGCAGATTCGGAGCGTAGTCGCTTAGGATTGTAGTATCATCCAACCATCACTCCAGAACCTCGCCACTCTCCCATTCCGCACATTCCACACCGTAGTATCCTCCAACAAGTGTGCAAAACATATCACCCCTCGCCATACGTTGGATAGCCTGCTTGTGGTCCGAAACACCCATCCCTCCTCAGTGAGCTTACAGTACTTAGAGACTAGTACTCTCGCCCATAGCTTATTCGACTTTGTGAGCATCCGCCACGCGATTGTCAACATATATGCCTCGTTCGTTCTCGTCGAGTCTCGCAGTCTCAGACCCCATTCATCCTTTGGCTAGCAAATGGTCTCCCAGTCAACCAAGTTCACTTTCCTCCCTTGATCAGTACTGCCCCACACAAATGCCCTTATTTTCTTATCAATATACTCTCGTACTCTGGCCGAAAGAAATGTCGTCTGCATCGTATACACCGGCAGTGAGGAGATCACTGATTAAGCAAGAGTGATTCGCCCAGCGAGCGCCGAGCAGGAGCGATGTAACCTTCCACCCCGCCATACGCTTATCTATTTTGTCAATCAGCTCGGTGAATGTAGCTTTAGAAACCCGATCATGGATCACCGGAACTCCCAAGTAACGCCCAAGATTCAATGTTTCAGGGATCCCAAGTTCTTGGCTCAAGGACTTGCGCTGCATTGCATTTAGGTTAGCAGAGAAGAAAACTCTTGATTTTGGCTTACTTATTTGCTGGCCTGATGCTGCACTGAAACGCTCAAAGCAAGCATTTACCTCATGTGCCTGGTTGATAGACGCCTCACCAAACAGGACCAGGTCATCTGCGAAGAAGCTATGCGACAGAGCTGGCATGTTGCTTGAGATCCGAATAGGGGACCAGCGACCTGAGCTTACGGATTCTGCGATGAGATGACTTAGTCTTTCCATGCACAAAGTGAACAGGTACGGGGACAGCGGACATCCTTGGCACAAGCCCCTGGATGGTTGGAAGCTGTTTGTAAGGCCTCCATTCCATTGAATTTGCATCGAGGCTGAAGTTATACACGCTATTGTGACGTCCACAAACTGAGCCGGCGCCTCTGTTGCTTCAAGAGTGTCTCTAACAAATCCCCATATGATCCTGTCATACGCTTTAGCAAGATCTATTTTCAGAACCATCCATCCCTTCCTCCCTTTTCGAGCCCTCATCGAATGCACCACCTCTTGTAGGATACAAAACATTGTCTGTAATATGACGGCCCGGGACAAAGCTCGTATGGGTCTCGTGCACTAGAGACGGCATTAAGCTCTTCAATCTCTCAGCTAGGCATTTCGTCAGTGCTTTGTAGGCAACGTTGCATAGACTGATTGGGCGAAACTGTTCAATTAAGGTGGGTTGCTAGACTTTAGGTATCAGAGCCAAAATGGTCGTATTGACCTCTTTAACTTTCTCCAGAGTAGCCCAACAATCTATGATTAATTGCAGAAGAGAGGACCCCATTGTCTCCCAACACCTCTGGAAAAGAGAGGGTTAAAGCCATCTTTTCCCGGAGCCTTCAGTGCACCCATAGATCGGATAACTTTCTTGATCTCCTCCGCATTAGGAACGTCATCAAGTGCAGCCCAGCAGGTATCTCCGAGAACAGGAAAGTTTGCTTGCAACGGCATCAACTCACCCCCTCGTATGTGTATAAGCTGCTGAAGAAGGCTCTTGCCAATTCCATAAGCGCCAGCGGGTCATCTATCCACTCCCCCTCATCATTTTCAGCATTAGAATGCGGTTTCGTTTCCTTCGACGTACAGCTCGGGCATGGAAGTAGGTTGTATTTTTGTTGCCCGAAGCCATCCACTACATGCACGACTTTTGACACCAGAGGATCTCTTCTTGAAATAGGGTAAGCTCGAGTTCCTCTTGCGCCTGAGATAGTCGTTCGAGTACCCCGTGGCCATTCACTGCGTGCTCGAGGCGTTCTATTTTTCTAAGCAGCTTATCCTTCCTCCTATAGATATCCCCGAACACTCTTTTATTCCAGCTTGCAGCATCTCTAGCAAATGCTTCTGCGGACTCAGTAAAAGTGCTTCCCTTAGCCCAAGCTTCATTCGCCTTAGCGCGGAATTCCTCATGAGATAACCACGCCGCAATGAAACGCAATGGTTTAGGGCCACCCGGAGACACATCATTCCTCGTCGAAACCAGAATCGTGCAGTATCCGATTTCTTCATCCGGGGGACGTGTCTCACTGAAGTCTCAGGGAAGGAAACTAGCTAGTCATTGTTTGCCATACCCCTATCGAGCCGCTCTCGAAGGCCTGTCCGGAACCACGTAAAGGTCGGTCCTGTGAATCCTAGATCGTTCAATCCAATATCATGCACCACATCTTAGAAGTCCCGGATACGCGTGGCATTAAATAGAGCTCCCCCCAACTTCTCGGAGGGGCTTAATATTGAGTTAAAGTCCCCAACTAGAAGCTATGAGAATTCCATTTCCTCCGCTATGCTTCGTAGTTTAGCCCATAATTCTCGCCTTTGCATCGGGGCAGGATTACCATAGATCGCTGAAAGCTGCCAATCCGGGTCCTGTGTGTTCGGATTGTGTACCTGTACATGGAAACATTGAGGATAAGTTCGTTTCCTAGTAATGGTGAAATCACAGGAATTCCAAAGCACCCAAATACTCCCCGAGTAGCGGATATCATCTATAACTAACTCACTGTCATAAAGCATATACCGAATTACTTCAAGAGCACGATCCCCGCTAATACGAGGTTCCACAATGATCACTATTTTAGGACGAAGTTTCCGAAGATACTCCCTAAAGGTATGAAGGAAACTTCTACTTCCCGCCCCCCTACAATTCCAAGCTAGTATTTTACAATCCATAAAAAACTAGTAGAGGAAAGGGACACCTTGATGTTATCGGATTGATGGGTTGACCCCATCAACATGCATCTTTGATAGACTCGATGTATCGCGGTCATCCTCCCCAATTTGATGTTGGTGTGGCTGGGAGTGTTGTATGTCCGGCGGTCGACCATGTGCTGCGAGTTCATCTTGGCCCGAACCCACCAGTTCAGTTTGCTCCCTCGCCATACTTGGTATCTTATCACCCGTTGAGCCGACTTTGATGGGGGAGGTCAGCTGGGTTTCTTTGACTCCCTCTTCCACAGCTTGTGTAGAAGCAAGGGCGATGGATGGTCTATTTTCCACCCTTTGGTTTTCGTTTTGTATGAGACTGACCGGGGTGGTTTTCTTTGGGAGCTCCTGTTGCTTGTTAACCTTTTCCAGTTCTGCTCCCTTCAAATGGGTACTCCTAGTAGTTGTGCTGATATTTGCCACCTGTTCTACCTCCGGTTGTGAGATGTTGCCTTCTTCCACTTCAAGTACTTCAAACCGGGATCCACCAGGCATTGCAACATTCTTTTTACCTGTACGTGTGATAGCATGTTGATCATCTCCTCCGATTTCTCTCCTCTTAGGCTTCCTCTTCGCTATCATCCATTCTCCATAGGTCTGATCCGGCTGCTTCACTTTAGATTCCGCCGATTTCTCCACTACATCAGCTTCCATAGGTTCATGCATTTTATTGCATGTGCATGTACCTTTCTCAGAGTACGTTCCACAGTGCAGGCAAATCTTCTCCAAACCCTCGTACTGAATATAGTAAGTTTCCCCGTTAAAGGAGAATTGTGATAATAAAGGTTTGGTAAGGTCCACCTGAACACATACTCGTGCATAATCACTACGCGTTGCAGTGCGCGTGGCTTCATCAATTCGGATAGGTTTCCCAATTTTGCTTCCAATCTTCATGACAGCATCTGGATGGAAATAATATATTGGTATTTCGAGGAGCCTTGCCCATACCACCGTCGATGAGACTTCGTGTTCGTAGGGATTAAATTTTTTTATCCCACATGTGCACTATGAGATAGTTTGGCCCTATCGTCCGTTGGTGACTGCTCGGTCATAATCCAATCCGCTCGTAAAACGGACTAGGAAATATCCATTTTTCATCGACGTAACCTAAATGCCTCCCACCTTTTCCCAAATCGAGTTGAGGCGGAAGGAGACATCGGTGTAGGAAATTGTTTTCCCCAGGGCTTTGACCACCAAAGCTGATCGAAACGCTTTGCAGTATTGGCGTTCCTCCGCCGGGGAGAAGTATATCGGTGAGCATTTTGGGTCAATTTGCCATCAAATCCCATCTCTAGGCCATCTTCTCTTATCGCTGCCGCCGTATCCTCAGAGTCTGAGTCCGTCGTATACCAATCATCAAGTTGTGGGCTTTCTCCGAACATTCTTTTCGCAACCCCCTTCCCTTGGTTCTAGACGTTCGCGGAAGGATTAGTTGGCTGAGTACGATGTTCTTGATTAGTATTCATATGCTCGTCGGTCCCTGAATCCAGGGTCACTTTCGGCTCCATGGGCTTCGCCCTTTTCTTTTGATGTTGAACCTCCCGATCACTCTTAGGATTCAGGAAGGATGATTGCGTTGGTGGCCGTCGATGACCGGAGATGATTTCCGGTTGATGGGAAGGCTTGGGTCCGCCCCCTCCCACCGGCGGCACATTGTCCGCCGACATGCGAGCAAACCCTAATCGCTAGTCAGAATCGCCAAACTTTGCCTCCCTGAAATCTCGGAGCAGCCCTCAAATATTTTTCACCCGACCACCTTTTTTACTTTACGCTCTTCACTCACAACCAAACTCATTAATTTTTTTATGGAATCAAACCAACTAGTTAAGTTAATCAAATAACAATTAAGCAAGCGTGATTAGTCAAACTGACTATCACTTATCAATTCTTTTTAAGTAGATCTGCATGATGTTATAGTTAACTACTAAAATGGTAACGCAAAATCACTTGCATGTGCGTAGTTATATGATAATTTCAATTTGTTCATTTCAAAATATACCAAAATGGGTATTATTGTTTATTTAAAAAAATTGAAAAATATAAACTATTTTATGTCCGCTCCAAATACCTATCCTAGATCGCTTCTAGAGCTTCATATTTATTTAAAATGAGGATAATCAAAATCTTAAAACTCTAGTATATAAGAGTCGTACAAGATGTAGATTGTGGATAGATGCAGAAGTTATGCGCATTGACCGTCGTGAGCACAAAACCGTAGTTGCATTAGAAAATTTAGCTGCAGAGTGCCGACGCCAAAACGTATAGGGTTTCCCGCTAATTTGCTAAATGGTAGAAGAGATGGGAAAGAAAACGAAAACGAAGTGAAAAGTAATCCCTACTACTTGATACTTGTTTATCAATTAATTTTCTTGGATTTATGACATGATTAGCCGGCCAATACATACACTCACATAATCTCTTACAACAGTCCATGGCCGATGTGAAGAATCATTTTTCTCCCAGGAAATGACAATAGAGAAAGAAGTGTTCTGACGTCTCTGATCCACCATGTGAGAAAATTATATTATCAATTTTATTGGGCAAGTGATATTTTTCCAAACAATCTTATAAATTGAATTTCTTTGCATTTTAGATTAAAATGGTGACATAAATTAGTAAGACATAAATTAGAAGTGTTATGTTAATCATAATCTCACCATTATCACCCAAAAAAAAACCCATTAGAAAAACATAGTTCCTTTTGTTTTCATGTGCTGGTAGGTTCTCCGTCAACACCCAAGTGCACCTTGTTTTGGTTAATTAAGTAATGATAGTTGACAAAATGCGAAAGGGGATTGAATTATAGGAGAAATCGAACAGTCTGCAACAAGATATGTTGCCGGCCTACTGACACGCTAAAACACAACACCTAACAATGGCCAAGTGTAACCAATGAAAGGGACTGCAGCATAGTGGCACAAGTAATAAATATCGAATCCACGGGTCTCTAGAGTTACTATTACTCAGCTTCAGTTCATTATCTAGCAAACTAGATTAAGGATTGATTTATAAACTACTCTACTGACTACTCTACTAATTACAAGTTGGGAACTCACTTAGGTATAATTCCCCCTAGCTCCTCAATTAGGTCCAAGTTGCAATTACCTTTGGTTGATCTACTGTTGATTAAACTGCGGAAGATCCTAAATTAGCTTGGAATCTCTTAAGCTGACCAAGCCCTCTCAGTCCAACTACCCGGCAGACGACTAGTCTTCACCAGGAAAGAAAGCTGAGGCTATACACACAGAACTCCACTAATGGAATGAATTCCAGTACAAAGCAGTGAATTGATTGACTCTCGCACAACCAATTCACCACTATCAATCAAGGAAGCTCTCTTAACCTAATCAGATTCTATCTATCATAGGTTAAAGCAGAAATCAAGAGGATTTGATCAAGATTCAATTGACTCAATAAATCATGCCTCAATCGATTATAATCAAACAATATAGCATCCAAAACTTCATACAAGAAAGATCCTAAAACATGGAACTAGGGTTCCTCAAAACCTAAGTGAAGGGAAGTTACTCCATAGAGAAGAGAGAGACTGCAGAAATCTGATCTAGATCTTCAATCTCCATCTCTAAGCTTGATTCCCGAGCTCCAATGGCGAAGAAACCCTCCAAAATAGCTCCAAGAATGTTCCCAAGTCGCTCTCTCTCTCTAGGGTTCGTCCCTTGGGTGTTTGGGAACCAAAACCCAGCTCTCCCTTTCCTTTGGCTTCAATCTGCCTAAAAAACCCGATTCTGGGCAAAACACTGTCGCGGACACGGCCGTGTTTTGCTTTTGCCCGCCCGTGTTTCGCCCCGTGTTAAAAACACGCCCGCGCGCGTCGGCCAAAACACGGTCGTGCCTAAATATGGGCACGTCCGTGTTTTGATTTAGGTGCGCCCGTGTTTTTACTGCCGAACCTGTTCCCCTATTTTCAATGCTTCGTTTCTCCCTCGTCCGGACTCCGAATCAATCGCCGTTTGATCCTAGACACTCGTAGTCTCGTCCTCTTTATTTTCATGACAAGCTTGCATGATTCTTTGTCCATAAAGTGAGGTAGAAATCCATTCTTCTTCAGGTCATGCCCGAGTTTCTTCTCCCGAATCACCAATTGATCTCTGATTGACTTGAAACTTGCGCCTATGCTTCACTTTATGTGCTAGGACCTGAAATGTAACAAAGGAACACAACCTAGCGTAAAATAGGCCAAAGAAGCGATAATGCAAGCTTAAACGATCAAGAAACAAAGGGGAAAACATGTGCAAATATCGAATCATCAAATCCCCCCACACTTAACCATTTGCTTGTCCCCAAGCAAACCTAACTCAAACCAATGCAGCTCTCCAGAACTCTATAGCAACATGCACCCTTGATCGTTGATAGAGGATTTTCTAGATCATTTAGCAGCTTACGAGGTCAACCGATGCACAAGTCATCTCATAGCTTCTTCGGCGAGAACGCTAGTCTCGAGTCGACATCATGACAAATAGTGATCAGAGGACAAATGAATCGTGGACGAAGAGACTTTCAAAAACAAAAGATCATGGACTCACATTTTTCAAGTTGCTCTTATTTTCTTTTTGAAGACGGTTGGAACCCCTTTTTTTCTTTTTTTTTTTCAAGGGTTCCAACCCGATTTTCAGAAAACGGGGCTCCCACCTAGCAAAGGTTTTGTGGGAACCCGGCTCTTACCGGCCATGCCGGGAGAGAATGTCTCGAGCCTCGTGCGGGGAAAAGGAATGTATGGGGGCTGGAGGTAGTAGGTGGAAATTGGGAACGATTCTCGTCTCCCCTTACACACTCTCGCCCTATTCGCACGGGAGACGTTATTTTAAAGCACATTTTCGAGCACCTTTTATTTTAAAACATTATACAGGAGTCCATGACAGGTAGAGAGTCCACAACAGCACACAATTCGAGGGTCCTAAGATCACTAATTCACACAATCAACCAACACAATATGAAGAAGAAAGGAGACTTCTTAAATGCATCAACATCCTCCATAGTGCTACACTACCTCCCTAGGTTGCATATTACTATAAAGACTGTCAATTCAAAGCATACTGAGAAGGCAATTTGCAAGGAAACACGTACTTGGAGCCCTCAAATCGAAATTTGGACAGTGGACTAGGCTCCAAGCACACAAACAGCCAAACATTCACACGCATTCATAATCGAACATCCCCCCACACTTAAGCACGACATTGTCCTCAATGGAGGAAAGATAAGGAGGGTAGAACGAAGTTACCAGATCCAGGGTGTATGATGGTGGATGGGGCTGGCGGTGTATTCTAGGAGGAGAGAGTGGTCAGAACACAAACACCACACAAAATCTCACAAAGGTTGAGTTATTGACTCTAAAATCAATAACTCAACCGAGGAGAAAAAGAGAAAGAAATGCAAACCGACTGGTTGGGTTGCCTCCCAACAAGCGCTTCTTTCACGTCGTGAGCCGGACGGTATCTCCTAAGTTTTGGTCCACCCCAAAACCTCCTTGAAGTTGAGGTTCTCGTCAATGAGGTGGAGTCTCAAGTCACGAGCATGTGGTATGACAGGTGATGGAAGCTCATGCACTTGATGCAGATGAAGTCTCCACCCTCGAGACCTCTTCTTCTCTTATCTCGTCTCATTACCCCAAACCAGATATGACAACATCGATTGACCACCATCGCGTCCACCAAGAGGGACCGATGTCGATGTGGACTTGGTCTGGCCAAGAGACGCTGCAAATGGGTCCTTGCTAAGCAATTCCTCGAAGTTTGGTGGAGATATCACATGTAACTCATGGCCGGTGCAGGCCTCTTCAACCTTAACTCCGTCCTCATCCTGGACGCCAATTTCTTCTTCAACCTCCCTTTCTTCTTCATGTGGTATCACCCCTGGGAAATGATCAAGAACTCCTCCTACTTCACTTTCGTCATCCTCCACAACTTCTTTCTGCACCCTTTCTTGCTCTTCTTCTTCTAGCACGGATTGGAGAGCAAGTTGCCAAGCAATTTCTTTCATGAGATCTTCTTGCATCTCCTCACTCATGCCCGCCTCTTCAAAGCTAGGTGTGGGATGTGGGAAGGTGTGGTCGGCTACGACAGGACATTCTTGATCATGATCTTCACGGGAGCTCTCCGTGATAATCTCTGTTTGCTCCACAATGTCCTTGTATCCTTCTTCTTCCTCCTCCTCTTCTTGTATGGTAGCAGAAGGTTGATCTGGAGCAGGTTGTGCCAAAGATCGCTCAAGATCATCGGCGCTCTTCTTAAGGCTCAGGAGGATCTCTTCTGTTTCACGAAAGGCCTGGACACAGTGATCCATCCTGGAGCATGATCTCTCACAGTCTCGAGCAAACTGCTCCATGAGAAGCCTCAATTCATAGTTTGGATCTGGCTGTGGAGTGTAGCATGGCTCTGCAGAATGGCCCATG